AGTGGGACGACGGCTCAGAAGCCCCTACCTCTGGGCCGGGAACAGTGGGACTCAGTACCTTGGTCTGGTGATCTGGTGTCCTCTGCGTCTTTGTAGTGTGGAATCAGGTGGCTGCCTGTCTGCAGTGGGGTGATTTGGCTTGTGTTCCGTGCGACTGGGTACCTCGGTAGGGCATGGGCAGACCTGCCTGTCTGCAGCAAGCTGATTCGGCGTCTTCCGCACGACTCAGGACCTCGGTAGGGCGTGCACAGACCTGCCTGTCTGCAGCGGGCTGATTCCGCATGTGTTCCGCGCGACTGGGGACCTCGGTAGGGTGTCTCTATTAACACTTTTTATCGAGGTGTAATTTATGTAGAGTGGAATGAGGAGGTGTCAAGAATACAGTTTGACCCATTTTTTCCACATTTTGTCCATTTTGACAGATGCAAACAGTCATGTAATCTACAACTTCATCGGGTTCTAGAATATTTTTGATATCTCCAAAAGTTCTCATTTTCTTCCTGGTCATCCCTCCTTCCTCAGAGCAGTCTTTGATTTCTGTCAATATAAATTAGATTTTCCTCTTCTAGAACTTCATAGAAATAAATTGTCAGACTGTGGGGTTATATGCTCAGTATTAGAGTGCTTGTCCAGCATGTGCCAAGCTCTGGGTTCAATCTCTAGCCCTGTGAAGAGAAAAAAAGGCAGAAGGGAAGAAGGGCGAATGGGAGGAAAGGAAGATGAAAGGAAGGAAATGGACTGCTAGCCCATTTCTCCTCTCCTAATAGACATGGTTTTGGGGTCCAGTGTATTCCCATATGAATTTATCTCCCAAATACTTGTCGCCATTTCTCAGCCTTAACCCTTCCCTAATTTGTGTGTTTCTGTTAACATTACTCATCTGTAGTGATGTAATGTCTTGGCTTTAGCACCACTAATCTTTTTTTTTTTTAATTCTACCCAAGTGTATTATTTAGATTAATAAATGTTCATGTTTTGCCTTGTTTGCTTCAGATATCTTTAAAAGGAGAAAAACGATGTTATATATAATTGAAGTTGAAGCCTTAATTCATTTTCAGTCCCCTTTTCCCAGAATTAGTCACTGTCCTGAACTTTGTGAATTTACTCCTATGCATAATGTGTATTTTAATATTTAAGTATATTGTATTTTAAGCTTTTATATAAATTTATGTAACTGTCAACACTTGTTTTTATAGTTACCCATGTTGGTACACATAGATGCAATTTATTTGTGTCACATTCTTTTATGAATTTTATTTATCTGTTTCTTTCCTGGTGTCCAATAAGGTCATTTCCAATTGCATTTATTGCACTTATTTCTGTAGTAACATCCTTACCACACTTGCTGTTTGTTATGCATATTCCCTGGAGAATATGCACAAGATTCTTAGCTGCATACCTGGAAGTAGAATTGCTCAGTCATAAGGAATGCCCTCCAGAATGTCTTGTGTGTGTGTGTGTGTGTGTGTGTGTGTGAATCGCCTGTTCATATTCTTGGCCAGTGTTTTGTATCTGAATGTGAGTCCTGTATTAGCACTTTGCCTCTTTAATATGTACATTAAAATTTTTATTGCCATATGTTTTGAGTTTGTGTTTTCTTAATGTTTTCAGAATATGCTTGCAATGCTGCTTTGACCAGATATGTGGAAAGAATTTTAATACTTTGTCATTCTGAATGTTCTTCTTTTTCAGACCCTTTGAACAGATGGTCACCATGCTGAGATATTAGCCATCACATATGAGTATGCCCGCATTTGAAAATGGCAGAGGGAAACAGCAATGAAGAGGTGATTCACTTGAACAGTTTTCACTGCCACAGAGGACAAGGTAAGTTGTTTGTTCTCACTTTCTGTTGTCCCTTGTTCCTTTTTCACTTACTATTACAAGCAATATCTTCTTTAAAATGAACCCGTTATGCTGTTTAGAATTCAGAGACATTGAGTTTTTAGACCTCATACATCAGGCACGAAAGGACTTGTCAGACTAGAATTGTGTCAGATGATGATACCTGCAGCATGAATGAAATTGAAGAATCACCTATCATAAGTAGATTAACTAGCTAGAAAATAAGATGTGAATGTGCAGTCATTGGGTCTGAACAGGTGGGGCTACAGAAGAGGGTTGATTCTGCCTTTTTTTTTCTTATTCTTTTTTTGTTGTTGTTGTTACTGGGGATCAAACTCGGGTCCTTGCGCTTGCACAGCAGGCGGTGAAACCACTGAGCTAAATCCCCAGCCCAGTTCTGCTTTTGACGAAATGGCGGTGGCACCAGAGCGCTCCCAGGTCTGCTGAGTGCATAGCAAGGTTCTGCTGAACTTTCTTGTCCTTATACTGCACATAACTTCTTTTTTTTCCAAAAGATTCTGGCTTAGCTTTATGGAGAATTTTAGGACATATATTTTTTGTTTGTTTCTTGTACAGTATTTAAAATTTTAGCAAATTCATTGATTCCTAAAGGGAAAATACCTTTCTGTAACATTCCTAAGTATATATGAAATTTCCTGCCAAGTCCTAATTGCGTTTAAAGGAAAAAAATTATGCTGATGAATAGAAAAAGAATTCTTCAAGCGCAAGGACCCGAGTTTGATCCCCGGTACCGAAAAAAAAAAAAAAAAAAGAAAAAGAATTCTTAATGTACTCATTTCTTTTTTTTTGCGGTACCAGGGATCAAACTCAGGATCTTGCGCTTGCGAGGCAAGTGCAGTACCACTGAGCTAAGTCCCCGGCAATATACTCATTTCTTACAAGTACAGATCCTATGAAAAATAGGCTGAACTGGTCTTGTTTTCTTCCATTAATAATATTTTGTATTAATGAAGATGATTTTTTTCTAGAAGAATAAATTATATTTTAACTTTCAGAGCATTTAAAATTATTAAGTAAATTGAAAAAAATAAAATCAAGCTATACAGCTATTCAAGTTATGAGAACAAAAGAAATACTGATCTTTAGGATTTTATTAATAGTGTATTTTAACTTGGTAGTTATTGCAGCCATAAATTACTGTAGTATATACAGAGTATTAAATCTTAGTTATAACTTGAATATGTGATCATTTCAAATTTTTCTGTACATATATATAAAATTAATGTTATTTTAAAATTGGGCCTTACATTTTTTAAAGAACAACTAATTCCTTCTGGAAAATTACTAATTTTGGAAGTGTATTTTCTATTAGACAGGTATATATACTCTGTACCTACCATGAGAATTTTTTTTATGCATGTTGTTTTATTTTTTTTATTAACTGAATTAATTTCAGTATACCAACCTCTGTAGTGTTTTTTAAGTGTGTAGTTCAATGAGTTTGGGCAAATGAATTCATTACTTCATTCATAATAATACCCGGAAGATTCCTTTGTGCCTCTTTGCAGTCACTCTTTACCCTATTTCTCATCTAAGAAAACCACTAATCTGTTCTTTGTCACTATTCGGTTTCATATAAATGGAATTGTTAGTGGGGGTACTGGAGTGCTGTGGGCTCCTCAGGGGTCCGTTTAGACCCTTTGTTTCCTGAACAAAGAATTGGACAGGAAACAAAGTAGCAAAGTTTTACATTTATTAAAGGTATTAAAGGTAAGAAAAGGAAGAAGTGCTCTAAAAAGCGCTGTACAGATGGAGTGCAGGTCTAATTAAAGTACAAAAGAAAATGTGTTCTGGATGCAGACTGGGCCACTGAGAAAGAAGGCTGCTGTCTTTTATACCCCATTCTGACATCAGATCTACACTGTGCTATCAAAACCCTACTTGATCTTGTGCTGGAAGAATTGAAGACACCATTCTCTAATTGGTAGCAGGTACAGGGCTTAGAAGCCATAATGCACATGTCCTGAATCTCCATGATTGACAGGTCATGCCCACCTGCCCAGCAGCTTTGGCATTCCCTAATCTGCCTCAGAATCACACAGTATATGCTCTTTGTATCAGAATTCTTTTGCCAAACATAATTTTTTGAGATTTATCCATGTTGCATGTACAAGTTTTTAATTTCCTTTTTAATTGCTCAATAGAATTCTACTTTATCTCACCTAAAATTCTATACTCAGTGAAAACAGGCTTAAAAATGAAAATAAATGTTGAAAGTCCAGGTATGAAAAAAACAATAACATGCAAATAGCTCAGAAAAGGAGCTAGTATAGCTACACAATATCAGGTAAAGTAGAAACCCCAGTCAAAAGTATGAAGAGTTCCTAAGAATCACAACCCTGGGAAGATAAATTCTAATTCTAATCCTTGTATACTTAGTAACATATTACAGAGCACACATTGCCAGAACTAAAAGGAGAATTGGACAAATCACCAATCATAATGGGAGACTTTAACCCAGTTCTTATAATAACTGAGAGAACATGCACACAAAAATAACTTGTAAACATAGATTAGAAGAACATGGTCAGCGAATTTGACAAAATAGATATACAAAATACTGTACCCATTGTATTGACTAAATTGGCCATATCTGGAGGCGTATAACAAGTTTTAAGTTTCAGGGGGCTTACTGAGGCAGAAAGAGCATGAGTTCAAGGCCAGTCTGACCACTATGGTGAGACCTCTTCTCAAAACAAATAAATAAATAATTTTAAATTAGGGGATTGGAGTCATGCAGATTATGTTCTCTAACCACATTGGAATTATGCTGTAAATCACTTATAGAAATATTATTAGAAAATCCCTGTATGTGTGAAAATAGAAATAGACTGCAAAATGACCCATTACAGTTGAAATCACAATGAAAATTAGAGAATATTTTTAGTTGGATGATAATGAAAATGTAATGTATAGAAGCTTTTGAGATATTTATAATGCCATATTTTAAAGAAAAATTATGACCTAAAATGTATGTATTAATAAGAAGTAAAGCTAGAAATTTATAAGTCAGGACTCAGCAGACTTTAAAGGGCCGAGTAGTACTAGCTTTGTAGGCCAGTGGTCTGTATCACAACTATTTAGCAACACATTTTATCCACTAAAATTGAATGTGGGCCCAGTGTAGTGGCACACACCTGTAATGCCAGCACTCCTGAGGCAGGAGGATGGCCAAGAGTTCAAGGCCAGCCTGAACCACACAGAGAGACCCTGTCACAAAACCAAAACAAAAGAATTAAGGGGAAGCGTAATAACAGTGACTCATCAGACAGACTCTTGGGATACCATCTAGCTTACTAACAGATGGGTCATGAAAGTCCCAGAACAGGAAAGGATACAGAGCAGCAAAAAATGTTTGAGAAAGCAGTGGCTGAAAATTTACTAAAATTGATGGAGAATGTTAATCTACACATTCAGGAAACTAAATGGACTTCCAAAAAGGATAAATATACAAAGATGCCAAGTGTGGTGGAGTGTGCTTGTAATTCCAGCACTCAGGAGGCTGAAACAGAAGGAGCTCTATGAGTTGCAAGCCAGTATGGACTCAGTGAGTTCAAGGCTAGCCTGAACTACACAGTGGGGACCCTATCTCAAAATCCAAAAACAAAACAGACAAAACAAAGAGCTATTCCTAGACTGGTCTTGGTCATTTGCTTCCTGGAGGGCCATGACTTGTTGATTGTATGGATAGAAATCTGGAAACAACTTTGCCTATTAAGAGACCAAAGACTTCAAATCCCTCTCACTTCTGCCCTCAGTAGTATCCTGACTTCTGAGCTTTTCTCGGGTTTTGAAGCATGTTGGCTGCCTCCATGCAGGCTCTGGGTTTGCATCTTCTCCACTAGGTTAAAGTACTTGGTGCCTGTAAATCTGCTATTTTCTAGAATTTTGTTCAAGTCCTTTGCCTAGTATAATCTCCTTTCCTTTTCTTTTTTGTACTTAAGGGTAAGTTCCTTTACTGTCATTTTAGTGGGGTTTCAGGAGGTGGTAGTGATTAAGCACATGGGTTCATTTTGCCAGGTTTAACTGGGATTTCTTCCCTGCGTGCCTACCAGGCCCTCAGTTCACTTAGTTGCTGTATTTGTCAGCCTGTTGTGAAAGGTAGTCTTGGCTTTATGAAAAGACCATTGAACTTGAAGTTAGGCATCTTTACTGTGTGTCAGGCACTATAATAAGCATACATTTTGTGTGACTTCTCAACTGATCCTCACATTTACTTGAAATAGGCACCATTGTTCACCTTTTTTAATGTTGAGGAAATGGATACTTAAAGCAAGCAGGTAGCACCAAGAGCCAATGTGTTGTGGAGCTAAGATTGAAACACAAACAGTCTGCCTGAGATTCTGTAGATGCCCATTTTAAACTGCTTTCTCTGCCACCTCTGCAGCCTTCTTACCAGAACAAAATGAGATCATTGATTTTTGTTTTGTTTTGTTTTCTTGTGGTACTGGGGATCAAACTCAGGACCTTGCACTTGTAAGGCAGGCACGACACCACTGAGCTAAATCCCCTACCCGAGATCATTGATTTTTGATTGACTTTCAAATTGTAGAGCACCAAAAAATATGTGAGATGTTAAACTTAAGAAAAATAACCACAAGCTTCAGTGAAGGACTTGCCAGAATTACAATAGTGATGCTTCTGTCTTTTCTTGCTGCTGCTGCTGCTACACTTTCTTTCTTTCTGGACCCTCAATGCATTTTCTTTTTATTGCTTATTTTAACCTTTAACATTCCTATGGAACCAGACAAAAAATGCAAGTGTTTAAAATCTATCTTCAAACAGATAAAAGATAGTAGAAACCTAGAACGCAATTATCACATTTAGATAGTTAAAGGAAAGTTAAGGATAGGAAAGTTAAGTTACTTTCTGTCATAGATGCTCAATGGGTGCTTGACTAAAACATTGGAATATGTTTGCTTAAATGAACCTTAAAGTTTATGTCTCAGCAGCAAGTGAAATTTTTACTATTTTGGGGTGATACTTTTCTCCAGCCTACCAGTTTAAATAAAATACTGTTTTATTCCTGGAAGGAGTAGAAGTGGTTGGGAAGCCATCATTTAGTTCTTTCTTTCTTTCTTTCGTTCTCTCTCTCTCTCGCTCGCTCTTTCTTTCTTTCTTTCTTTCTTTCTTTCTTTCTTTCTTTCTTTCTTTCTGGTACTGGGGATTGAACTTGGGACCTTGCGCTTGCGAGGCAGGTGCCAGAACCACTGAGCTAAATCCCCGGCCCAGTACTTTATTTATTTTTGTTTTCTGAGACAGGGTCTCACTATGTACCCCAGGCTGGCCTCAGACTGCCTCAGCCTTCCTAGTGCTGGGATTACAGGTGTGCCCCACCATGCCCAGCTTCCAACCTATTATTTTAAATAATTGATAATCCTGAGTGTAAGTGTCAGATTTCTTTTAGCAAGTCCAAAAATATACTCTTGGCAAACAGCATGGTATCTGGCACATCCTTGTAATCCCAGCGCCTCAGGAGACTGAGATAGGAGGATGGCAAGTTTGAGGCTAGTCAAGGCAACTTATGAAAGGCTGTCTCAAGAAAGTAAAACATCAGCATGGAAATATGCAATTTACCTGTGGTTTGCTTTGAGAAGGTAAGTTAGCATGCCTAGTAGCCATGAATTTGGCTTTAGGCTAAAGTACAGTGAAAGTACTGACTGATTGTTCTGGCCTCCCAGTAACAGTATTCTGTGACTTCCCATAGACTGGATCAGTCTCAGAGATGGGCCCATCACCATATCTGACTCCTCCGATGAGGAAGGGATTCCAATGCAGGTCACGCCAGCTCCCGAGCATCATGAAGAGGACCTGGATGATGACGTCATCCTGACTGAAGTGAGTTTTCTTAAAACTACTGTGGTGTGGGGCATTATTACAAGTTAGTGAGCTGATTCTTCAGCTACTTTCAGGGCCTCATAGAACAACTAAAACACCTCTTTGCACCTTTCTGCATCTCTGAGAACAACCCCCTTTCCACCCTGCCTCTTGCCCCCTTAGCTTTGGAAGCTGTACATCTTGCCTGTCTCTGGACTTCTGTACCATTGCTCCATCCCACAATACATGCACTAGCCCGTGCTGTTTATAAAAGCTGTAACATTGCTATATGTCTTACTGTCCAGTAGAACATATTAACCCTTAATTTCACAATCATCCTGGATATTCTTAAACTTTTTTTTTCCTTCAATTCTTTTATTGGTCCATTTTAGGTATACAATACATTTACATTTATCATTGGGTGTTGTGGCTGAACATGATGTATCTTGGTTCTTATTTTTTCCCCCATTACCTGTGCACCCTTCACCCCCTCCACCCTTCCCTATTTACATACTTTGTTTCCATTTTTTTTCTTTTCTCATAAGTTTCCCTTTCCTTCCTTTCCTTTCCCCTTCCCCTCCTACCACCCCTACCCCTTTGGACCTTTTCCTATTTCAAATTATCAATTATTCGTTTTAATTCATTTTAATTCTTACTTATACTTTCAGTTTCTCACACTAGAGAAACTATTCAATATTTACACATGTGTGTCCTATTTATTTCACTTAAGAGTATGGCCTCTATATGCATCCATTTAGCTATAAATTTCTCTAATTTCTCGTGTTTTTGATGGCTGAGTAGTACTCCATTTTATTAAAAAACCACATCATCTTTATCCAGTTTCCAGTTCATGGGCACTTGGGCTGTTTCCAAGCTTTAGCTATTACAAACTGTGCCACTATAAACATGGGTGCACATATATCCCTGTGGTATGATTCTTTTAATTCTTTGGGGGAGATCCCCAGCAGTGGAATACCAGGGCCAAATGGGACCTCTAGTCCTAGTTCTTTGAGGTATTTCCATACTGATTTCCACAGTAGTTGCACCAGTCTGCACTCCCACCAACAATGGAGAAGGTTCCTTTCTCCCCACAGCCCCACCAGCATTTGTTATTGGTTGATTTCTTGATAGCAGCCATTCTTTCTGGGGTGAGGTGGAATCTCAGCGTTGTTTTCATTTGCATCTCTCAAATGACCAGTGATATTGAACATTTTTTCATATGTTCATTTGCCATTTCTACTTCTTTGTCTGAGAAATGTCTGTTCATTTCAGATGCCCATTTTCGAATTGGATCTTTGAATTTGAGGGGTCTGATTTTTTTCAGTTCTTTATATATTCTAGATAGTAGACCTTTGTCTGAGGTACAGCTGCTGAAAATTTTTTTCCACGTTAAAGGTTGTCTCTTAGCTCTGTTGTTTTCTCTTGCAGTGCAGAAGCTTTTTAATAAGATGAGATCCCAGTTGTTGATTCTTTATGCTAGTTCCTGTGCTGCTGAGGTTTTGTTCATAAAGTCTTTTCCTATGCCAATGTCTTCAAGAGTTCTACCTAACTTATCTTCCAGCAAGTTTGGTGTTTCTGTCTTAATATTTAGATTTTTAATCTGCTTTGATCTTAGTTTAGTGCATGGTGATAGGTATGGGTCTAGTTTTATCTTTGACAGGTTGAAATCCAGTTTTTCCAGCACCATTTATTAAAGAGGCTATCTTTCCTCCAATGAAGGTGGTTGGCTCCTTTGTCAAAGATGAGATGGCTGAGTATGTCTGGAGTTGTTTCTGCATCTTCTAATCTATTCTGCTGATCCTCGGGTCTGTTTCTTTGCCAGTACCATGCTGTTTTTATCACAGTAGCTTTGTAGTATAGTTTCAAGTTGGGGATTGTGATACCCTCAGCCATGTCTCTGTTGCCTAGAATTGCTTTTGCTATTCCAGTTCTCTTCTGGTTCCAAATAAATTTTTGGATTGTTTTCTCTAGTTCTGTGAAGTATGTTGTTGGAATTTCAATCACCATTGCATTAAATCTATATAGTAGTTTTGGAAGTATGGCCATTTTCACTATATTGGTTCTTCCTACCCAGGAACAAGGGATGTCTTTCCATTTTCTTATATCCTCCTTGATCTCCTTTTTTAGAGTGCTGAAGTTTTAAGTATAGAGGTTTTTTGGTTCCTTTGTTAGATTGATTCCTAGATATTTCATTTTTTTTGGATGCTATTGTAAAAGGAATTGTTTCCCTAATGTCTCTCTCAGTGAGTCTGCTATTTGTGTATAAGAAGGCTATTGTTTTTTGAGTGTTGACCTTATATCCAGCTACTCTACTGAATCTGTCAATTAGGTCTAGAAGTCTTTTGGCTGAGTTTTTTGGGTCTTCTGTGTAAAGCATCATATCATCAGCAAATAATGACAGTTTAACTTCTTCCTTTCCTCTTAAACTTTATGTGAATTTTACAGTCAGCTTTTCTAGTTCCAAAAGATAATCAATTTGTCTAAATTAAAACAGATTTTCTTGCTGTTTTTATAGAACAGTTTATGCAATACTGACTCTTTCTAAACAGGAACAGGTTTAGAGTAAGATTTGTCTTTCCATATAGTTTAACCACCTTTTCTGTGCTTCTGTCAGAGCATTTTGAATTTTTCTTAATACAGATCTCAAACATTCTTTGTTATTTATTCTTTTTTTTTTTTTTTTTTTGATACCGGGGATCAAACTCTGGACCTTGTGCTTGTGAGGCAGGTGCGGTGACACAGCTAAATCACCGGCCCCCCCTTGGTTGTTTATTCTTGGTTATTTTCTTTTCTGTTACTTTTGTGAATAGCATCTTTACTTCCATTGTACCTTTTAACTTTTATTCAAAATTTAAGTCTGAGGGCCAGGGATTTAGCTCAGTGGTGCCGCTGCCTGCCTCGTAAGCGCAAGGTCCCGAGTTTGATCTCTGGTACCAAAAAAAAAATTTAAGTCTGTTCACTTAACATTAATTCCACAATTACTTTTTATTATGTATAGTCATTTTTCATTTGAGTCATATTTCTTGAGAATTTGCATGTAATCTGTCTGCAATTAATGATACTTAGTTTCTAGTTTTTATACTTTTTCTTTTCTAATTGTGATAACTTCCTCAAAATTTTAATAGTGGTGATAGATAAGAATAACCACTGATAAAAATGGGAATACTTTTTTTTTTTTTAATTATTATTTTTTGGGTACCGGGGATCGAACTTGGGACCTTGCGCTTGCAAGGCAGGCGCCAGAACCACTGAGCTAAATCCCCGGCCCCGGGAATACTTTTAATATATCTTCATTAAGTGTGATAATGCCTTTTGGCTTAAGGTGCTTTTTTTTTTTTTGGTACTGGGGATTGAACTTGGGACCTTGTGCTTGTGAGGCAGACGGTAGAACCACTGAGCTAAATCCCTGGCCCATGAGGCTATTTTTTGTAGTTCTTTGGGGGGGGCCCAAACCAGGGATCAAACTCAGGACCTTGCACTTGTGAGGCAGGCATGGCACCACTGAGCTAAATCCTCGGCCCTCAGGTGTTATTTTTTTACCCTATATTATATTTACATTATATAAAGCCATTTACTTGTACTATATTTCAAGTTTTTCATGTGAGTGGATGTGAAATTCTGTCAAATTGAATATCAGAGTCTGTGGAAATTGTCCTGTGATTTTGCTTTGATCTGATGGGGTGAATTATTCTGTCTCTGCAAAGAGCCACTTGGTCATGGTATTATAATGTGATGGTAATGTGCTGATGGTTCCATTTGCTAATGTTTTATTTAGGCTTTTTCTCCATAGACCTCATCAGAGAGACTGGCCCATAGGTTGGAGTGAGAACCTGTGTGCTCTTTGACAGCTTTTTTATGAACATGATCCTGACTTCATGAAGAGTTTGGAACTTTCTTTCTTTTTTTTTTTGTTTTAAATGTATTGAATAAAATTAAACAATTCCTGTTCTTTCTACTTATAGTTCCTCCCCTGTCCTTTTCTATTTGGTCTATTTCTACCCTTTTTTCTTGATTTGATGAAATAACTGTTAGTCTCTCTTCTTCCCTTGGTTTTCTTCCTCCTCTGCCAAAAAGACAGCTCTGAGATTTACTTGGTAGTGCCGTCATCTTATTTTCTCATTCATTAATTTCTGCTTTTGTCTTTAGTAATTTTTCTTCTGCTTTAGCATATTTAACATGTTTCTTTAGGATTTATTTTATGGACCTTTTGCTAACTTCTTGAGTTATTAATTCTTTGTTCATTCTTTCACTTTTTTCTGGTTATCGCCATGTAACATACCACCTCAAAACTTAATGGCTTAAGTCAACTGCAGTCCTTACGTTCTCTGTCTTACTTGGTGGGTGGGAACTTGAGAAATGCTTATTTGGGGACTCTGGCTGGGGGCTCGTTATTGGCTATTGTCAGATGATGCTGAAGCTGAAATGGGGCACTGGGACAGCCGGACGCTGAGGGATATCAGTCTTTTTAGGGTATCTCATATGATCTCTCTTTTTAAAACAACTGTATTCAGATACAATTCACATAACAGATAAGTCATCTATTTAAATTGTGTGATTCAGTGGTGTTAGTGTATATGTATTCATGGAGTTGTACAGTCTTCACCACAATCAGTTTAAAAACATTCACATCACCCTAAAAAGACACCCTCCACCTATTAGCTGTAACTAACCATTTTCCCCAACCTCTGCCCCTGACTCCTCATCCTATACAATCACTAATTTGGTTTTTGTTTTTGCAGATTTGCCTGTCATGTAAATTTCATATAAATGGAATCATACCATACCTAGTCTTCTATGACTGAATTCTTTTACTTAGCATAATATTTTCAAGGTTCATCCATCTTGCAGTGTATCAGTACTTAGCTCCTTTTTCAGAAGCAGCTTTATTGAGATACAATTTATATACCATATATTTCATCTATTTGAAACACACAATTCAGTGGCTTTTAGTAAATTGACACCATTTTGCATCCATCACCACCATCAATTTTAGAATATTTTCATCACCCCATGAAGAAATTGGGCTCCCATAAGCCATCACCTTCCAGTACTCTATTCCACCCTGTCCTAGGAAACTATTTTTCTATCGCCTGTCTGTACTTAGTACCTGTTCTAGACATTTCATATAAACAGAAACATACATTATGTGGTCTTTTGAAGCCATCTTCTTTCACTTAGCATGTATCAGGGTTCAGCTATGATACAGCATGAATCTATTTTGTTCCTTTTTATTGCTGAATAATATTGCATTGTATAACTGTACCATACTTTGTTTATTCATTCATTAGGTGGTAGTCATTTGAGTTGCTGTTACTTTTTGGGTATGAAGAATAATGAATAATGCTATTACATTCACATTGAAGTGGGCTGAGGATTTAGTTCAGTGGTTTCGCTGCTTGCCTTGCAAGCGCAAGGTCCCGAGTTCGATCCCTGGTACCAAAAAAAAAAAACACATTGAAGTTTGTGTGTTGACATATATTTTCATTTCTATTGTGTAAGTACTGAGGAGCGGAATTGCGACTGCTCTGTTTAGCCCTACCTGACTGACTTTCCATAGCGGCTGTACAATTTTATATTACTACTAGCAGTATTTGAGGCTTCTAGTTTCTCCATGTTATTACCAGCATCTGATACTATGTCCTTTTTATTATAGTTAGGTGATGTGAAATACTATGTAACTACAGTTTCAAGTTACATTTCCCAATGGGCAGTGATGTTGAGCATCATTTTTGTACTGTACTTATATATTGGCCGTGTTTGTATCTTCTTTTGGGGAAATGTCTTGCAGGTTTTTTGCCCATTTTTAAATGGGATATTCATCTCTATATTGAATTTTTATATATTCTAGATGCTGTGCCTTCAAAAGATAATGTGATTTGCAAATAGTTTTTCTCAGCTAGGCATGATGGTGCATGCCTGTAATCTTAGCACTCAGGAGACTGAGGTAGGAGAATCCCCTGAGTTCGAGACCAGCTTGGGCTACATAGTGAGTTCAAGGCCAGCCTGAACTACATAGCGAGATCCTGTCTCAAAAAAAATTTTTCTTTTTCTCACTCTGTAGATTGACTTTTCATTTTCTTCATGGTATCCTTTGAAACATAAAAGTTTTAAAATTTAATGAAATCCAGTTTATTTTTCCTTGTATTAGTTATCACTTTTGATACATGTCCAACACATATGACTTATTTTAAGGTCTGATTGAAGCTTCCCCACATCATCGAGGCCTTGGGACTATTATAAATTAGTACTTTAAACTCTTTTTTTTTTTTAGTAATGTAAAAACCTTGAAACACTTTAATTCTATTCCCCTCCAAAACTTTTATTACATATTTTAGTTCTGTGTACATTTTTAAAATCCGTAGTATGGATTTTCATCTTACACAGTTAATATTCATTGCCTTATCCAGGTATTTGCCCTTTTTGTTGCTTTTCATCCCTTTATCTCTGACTTTAAACTGCCTAAAAATCACCTGTAATATTTCCTTTATGCAGACTTTGCTGATATTTTCATAAACTATAAAATTCTATAAGGCCCATATTTTAACATCTATGAAGATACTATTCTCATGTTTTCCGGATTCCATTTTTCTTTTAAAAAGTCATTCTTTAGGGCCGGGGATTGTTCAGTGGTTTTACCGCCTGCTGCGCAAGCTCAAGGACCCAAGTTAGATCTCCAATACCAAAAAAAAAAAAAAAAGTCATTCTTTAGTCTTACTTTTGTTTGAAAAAAATATATACTGCTGCTTTTAGGAGTTTTTGTTTTGTTTTGTTTTCTAAAGTCTTACTATGCTCTGCCTAGATTTCTATTGTTGAGAGGATTAAAAAATTTATTCTGCTTAGATCTTCAAAACTGAAATCAAGTCCACTAACTGTCCTTTCTTAAATATTCACATTACGTCTTCAAATATTCCTTTTCTTCCTTCTCTTCTAGAACTTCAGTTACATATTTGTTAAGATCTTTTCATTGTGTTTTTTGGTTTTGGGTTTGTTTGGGTTTTTTTTGATACCAGGGATCAAACTTGGGACCTTGCGCTTGTGAGGCAGGTGGCGGAACCACTGAGCTAAATTCCCGGCCCCTTTTCATTGTATTTTTATGTTTTATTTTATCTAATGTTCAGTTTTATCTCTATGGTTTATTCTGGTTATTTGCTTCTGGCCTGTTTTTCAACTCATTGATTTCTCTCTTTGGCTATATTTATTTAAAATGCTCTTTGTCCACCTGTTGATTCTTTATCTTACTTGCTATGTTTTTCCATTCTGGAATTTGCATGTGATTCTTACATTTCTCTGCTGAAATTTTACCATTCTAGTCTGTTTCTTCCTTACATGTGCTAAATATTATTTAGAATCCAGGTCTGATAATTCTGCTATGTGAAATCTCAGTAGGTTTGTTTCTGGTGTCTATTACTTTCTTTGGTTTTCAGTGGTCACATTGAGTTATGTGCCTAGTTATTTTTTATTGAGTGTAAGTCATGGTATATGAAAAAGCTGAGATTCTAGATGATGTTACCTTTATCCACAGAGCACCTACACTTAGGTTAAGAGCACAGGATGTCACAGTAGGGAGCTGGGATTCAGTTCCTGGGATGATAGGCGTGCTTGCTTCGTGTTCACCCTGCAGTGACGTCACCCTTCAAGCACTCACCGTGTGCCTTGAGATTTATCAGGACCTTGCCCTTTTGCTAAGTTCTGAATTCCATTTTTTGCGTCCTTAGCTTCTCAATAAGAATATACTCTTTTTAGGCGCAGTGATGGTGAGGATGATTGTAGAGTATTTTGTTGACCAAGTAAGAGTTCACTTAAAGTTTCTTAGGAAGAACCTTTAGAATGTCTGTTATTTTTTCTTTTTATGCTACAAGCAGTGTAGCAGTGAATATCCTTGTATATGACCTTTTCAGATATGTGTATTTGTAGAATAGCTATGAAAAAATGATATTAATTATAAGTATATATATATTTTTAAACTTTAATAAATGGTGCCAAGCTGCTCTCCTAAATACTAGCAGTGAATGATAGTATACAAGTTTCCACACACATCTTTATCAGTGCTTTATATTGTCTAACTTAAAAGTTTACCAGTCTTATAGGGGAGAAAAGTTGTCTTGTTTTAATTTTCATTTTGCTGATTACTAATGAGATTTTGGTTCTTTTCATATGTTTCTTTGGCATTTTTTTATTCCTCTGCTGTGTTAGCATTCTTTATTCCTTTTACCATACTATTAATTTTGTTTTAGCAGTCTCAGAAATTAAAATATAATTTAAATTATAACTCAAGCTTCAGTCTTTGAACGGCTGCTCCTATTCTTATAGATACTATAGTGTTTCAGTGTTAAGATAAATGTAAAGAGTAGGTTTTGTTAAGCAGAGGGATGTTTTTGTGTGTTTCTTCCCTATCCTATCTCAGAAGTTCAGTATAAGTTCATAAGGAGGCATAGATGTAGGAAAAAAATTGAAGTATTATTAAAATTTCATTTTTTCTTAGACAAATAGACCTCAGACTTCACGACCCAATCTCATCAAACCAGCTGCCCAGTGGCAAGATCTGAAAAGATTGGGAGAAGAAAGGCCTAAAAAGTCTAGAGCAGCATTTGAATCAGATCAGAGCAGCTATTTTTCAGTGTGTAACAACCCATTGTTTGATTCTGGGGCACAGGATGATTCTGAGGAAGACTACGGTGAATTTCTGAATCTTGGGCCTCCTGGAGCCTCTGAATTCACTGAGCCAAGAGGTCAAGCAGAAACAGAACCCGAACCTGGACCCAATCATAACCAAGCAGTAAATGACATTGTCAACCCCAGATCAGAACAGAAGATCATTATCTTTGGAGAAAGTGGCCTTCTTTTCCCAGAAAGTGATCCTTTGGATACTCAGAACCAGTCATCTGAAGACTCAGAGACAGAGCTTTTTTCAAATCTGGGAGAATCAACTACTTTGGGAGATGATCAGGACATTGAAGAAGACTGCTGGCTCAACCATCCATACTTACAGTCTCTAAAACAACAGCCTCGTGAGGTAACAAACCAGGTTGTTCCCCAGGAGCGGCGTTCTGAAGGAGAACTGGGCCCCTTTCTGTTTCAGCATGAACTCCCAGGGCCAGCTTTTCCAAGGCCAGCTTTTCCAAGACCAGAACCCCAGCAAGATGGGATTTCAGGCCCTGCTTCTCCTCAGCCTGCACACCCACTAGGAGAGCTTGAAGACCAACAGTTAGCAATCGATGATGAAGAGCCAGGGCCAGCCTTTCCCCTGCGAGGATCTCAGGAGGCCAATATGGAAAACCTTTGGGGGCAAGAACCTCCCGAGGTAGATCAAGAATTCATTGCACTATTAGTGAAAGAAACAGTAAGTGTTGCTTATTTTTATTACTGTTTAATTTTAGACATCATGAATTTTAGACATCTTTAATTGAAAAAAAATCCATGTGTAGACTTCATTTTCCTAAGAAGCATATATCCACATGTAGAGAATAAAAGAAAACAGACTCTGAAGACAGGAAAATGGAATCGGGATTCCTTAATCTGTGCATAACTTCCAGGAAGCTCTCAAGGGTGCTAACAGTATATTATGGTGCTGCCCTATGAGTTTTTTCAGAGGCCTTGAACTCTCTACAAATTCAGACCCTTGAAGGAAGTTATTGAATTGCCTAGACCTGTGCTATCCAGCATGGCAACCATTAGCCTGTGTTACTATTTACATTTAAGTGTCTTAAAATTAAAGTTACAAATTAAGTTTCCAAGAACAGTAACATTTTAGTCTCAGCAGCCACATGGCGCTGTCAGCAAGGACAGAATAGAAGGTTTCCATCATTGCACACAGTTCTGTTAGATTCTGGTCATGGTAACATGGGCCTTTATGTCCATCTTTGCCTTTAAGTGAGTCTCCTTACCCTGCTTACCCATGTTTTCATCTGACCTGCTCGGTTGTGAGCTTCTAGAGGACAGGCATGGGATTGTACTTTGTCTTTGGACTCTCTTGCCTGGCAGAGATGCTCAATATTTGTTGAAAGAAGAAAATGGATATGCAAAGTGGGCAGAGGACCAGATGACCTCTATGACCTTTCTAGACTCTGTCTTTTGTCTTGGTGGTGAATCTGAGAACAAGTACTGAATTTTAAGCTATGTAGAGCTGTTTTTTAGCCCTCTTTTCTTAGTCATTAGCCATTTTCTTTTTTCTTTCTTTCTTTTTTTGTCACATGGTTTTTATTGCCTTCAAACTATTCTATTGAATAAAATGTTTTTATTCCTTCCCAGGAAGCAAGATTTCCAGATGTAGCAAATGGGTATGTTGAAGAAATAATTCATTTGAAGAATTATTATGATTTGAATGTGTAAGTATTCCACCATCCCTTTTTTCTTTCCTTTTGTTTCTTGTGGTAAAATAAATATAACATTAAATTTATCATTTTAACCTTTTCTGTGTATCTGTATGTGTGTGGACTGGGAATTAAACCAGGGCCTTTGCACTGAGCTACATCCCTACCCTTTATTTAAAATTTTGAGACCGAATCTTGCTAAGCTGCACAGGCTGAGTTTGAACTTGTAATCTTCCTGTTTTAGCCTCCCAGGGTATTGGGATGTACAGGTGTGTGTCACCATGCCCAGCATATTTTAACTATTTTTAAGGGTAAAGTTTAGTAGTATTAAGTACATTCACATTATCGTGCAGCCATTACCCAATCCTTCTCCAGAACTCTTCTTATCTTCCCAAAATGCACCTATTAAATACTAACTCCCCATCCCTTCCTCTCGTGACCCCTACTACCATCATTCTAATTCCATCTCTGTGAATTTGACTAGTCTAGGTATCTCATGTAAGTGGAACTGTACAGTAGCTGTTGGCTCTTTCTGACTGGCTTATTTCACTTGGCACCATGTCTTTTTAATGATCTTCTTAGTTCTAACATTAGTCAAATACAGACTGTTGTCTGAGTCTTATGGAATTCTACAGGGTCATGAAATTGTGATGCCTAGTTGTTTCTGATCATTAATACTACCTGTGTTTTGGTCAAGATGATAAAAGACTGTTTTTCCCAACATTTGTAACAAAAAGTGTCCTGTAAGCATTCTGCTTCTTTGCAGAAATATGTGGAAGCATTTCTTCAGTTTTTAGTATAAAAGCGATAATTTAAAAAAATTAGGGCCGGGGATTTAGCTCAGTGGTTCCGCTGCCTGCCTCACAAGCGCAAGGTCCTGAGTGCAATCCCTGGTACCCCCCCCAATTAATTAATTAATTAATTAAAATATTAAAAAATTAGTGTACTGAAGAGTACTAAATGAAAAGTAAGTCTCTTTCCTCTTATACTCGCTTTCCTTATTCTAGTCTCCAGGGTGAAATAGTTGTATATTTGTAGAGTAGTGTTGAAATTACATAATCATAATTTTCAAAGAGTTAATACAAATATTTTTTCATTAAACAAAAAAGATAGTATACTGCCAGGTGTCGTGGCGCATGCTTATAATCCCAGCACTCAGGAGGCTGAGGTAAGAGGATCTTGCAGAGTTCAGGCAAACCTGAAGCCTAATCTCAGAAAACAAAACAAAAAAAATCAGTTACAATCATTCGCTTTTTGGTACTGAAATTGCCCCAGGTCTGACCCTTGGGAGCCTTTTAAGATGCACCTCTCTTTTTGGTGTGACCCCATTAATCTTTGAGCACTCTCTTGTTTCTTGAAATATAGTTGAATCGGTGGGCAGGTATGGGATTTGGAAGCAATATGAAAGTAATATCATGTGTTGTTGCAGACTTTGTAATTTTCTTCTGGAAAATCCAGATTATCCAAAGAGAGAAGACAGGATTATTATCAATCCCAGCAGCAGCCTACTCGCCAGCCAGGACGATACAAAGGCAAGTGTCCTGTGTACATTTTACCTGGAACTGCTGTACCTTTTCTGTCATCTCTATGCTTTGTTGGGACACATTTTTAAAAGGCCAGCAGGAAAAATAGGATTTTAGAATGCACTTCAGTGGGATCTCCCACCTTATGCTGCTGTGAGTTATTTATTTAACTCCTCTTTTGTTGATACTCTTATCTTCCATTTTCCACAAAGAATTAAGCAAATCTTCCATAGCTTTAATCCTACAAAGCAAATTCCCAAAGTGAAACAAGAATTGCCAGGATTCTTTGTATTTAGTAGTTTTTATTTATTTATTTTTTTTTTTTGGTAACGGGAATCGAACTTGGGACCTTGCACTTGCGAGGCAGATGGTGGCACCACTGAGCTGAATCCCTGTTCCAGTAGTTTTTAACATTATTTTACATTAATCCTACCTACCCACCACCAGTATTACTAAAAAGTTAATGGTATACTCTATCAGCTTTATTGTAACTCTCTTCTCTGTCCATCAGCACATCTTTATTTAATTTCATTACAATGCATTTCAAAGTAAATTACCAAAACATTAGTATTGTGTACCTCTATATGAATTCTTTTTTTTTTTTTTTTTTTTTTTTTTTGGTATGGGGATCGAACTCGGGACCTTGTGCTTGCGAGGCAGGTGGTGGAACCACTGAGCTAAATCCCCGGCCCCCTATTTTTTTCTAATTCTTTTTTTTTTTTTTTTTTGGTACTGGGGATCAAACTCGGGACCTTGCACTTGCAAGGCAGGCAGCAGAACCACTATGCTAAATCCCTGGCCCCTGTGTACCTCTATGTAAATACTTGAGTGTGCAGATCATTATCCAGAGCTTAATATCTGTTGATACTTTTTTTCTGTTGTAATATTTGTGTACAGTGCATACACTTGTTTAACCAAATCTTATATGAAGATGTAAACAATTTGATTTTTAAAACCTGCAGTCATTGTCTTCATTTGCAAACTAAGTTAGCATTCAGTATCTTATATAGTGAAGGAAAGTATAGTTCAGAAGTAACTGCATTAAGGTCTAGTGCTTGATTCTTCTGCTCCCCACAAATTCTTCTCTCTCTTTTACATATTCTGTAGAGGGGGAAAAAGTGACTTTTTCTGAACATTTTTGAGAAAGGAAGATGGTTGAAAAATTGGGTTCAAATCATCACCTATACTTCTCTACTAGTTCTAACTAGTAAAACCAGTCTTCAGACTCCACTTGGGTGGATCTCTGGTCTACCATTTCTTCATCCTGTTATAGGGCTGATGACTTCCAGAGTAATTATGAAACCAAACAAGATTATCCTTTCCTGTAATATATAATTATTAAAATGATTTTCTCCTTTTGGGGAATGCACTCTCTGGTCCCTAATTTTGTTTCTCTTGTTTCAGTTGCCTAAAGTAGACTACTTTGACTATTCAAAATTGAGTCCTCTTGACCAGCGCTGCTTCATCCAAGCTGCTGACCTCCTAATGGCCGACTTCAAAATGCTCAGCAGTCAGGATATCAAGTGGGCCCTCCATGAGCTCAAAGGACACTATGCAATCACCCGAAAGGTGCTCTTCTTCTTCTGTTGGGATCACACCCTCGACTGCTTCGCCTGTGATATAGAACAAAGAGTTCCCCTCACAGAGATCGGGATGATTTGTGATAGCTGAGAGTTAGAGCTGGCCAGGGTATTTGCTGATCAGGAAGAACTGGATGGAAAGGAATGCTAGAATAGAAACAGGGAAATTCCACTTTGACCAGAAAGACCTGGAGGGCAGTACACTTGACTCTGGAATGCAGGGTGAGCAGAGTATGAAAGATTGCTCTTCCCCGATTTACTTTGACTTGGGACAGGTGACCCATCGCCCAGGTGACTCAGTTTCCACTTACATGAGGTGAGGTCTCTAAGGAGCCAAGAACACAGTAGTGCCCAGTAATGATGGTCTGCTTCAGAAGAGGGTAGGCAGGCAGCTTCCACAACTCCCAACATTTTCCCCCAGAGCCCCAAGGAAGAGAGCACATGAAGGCCCCTGTTCCAGGATACAGATGAGTGCTGGTGACTGGTGAGTGGCACAGGCAGGCTGAGTTAGCAAGGGGCATGTGTAGTCCGTTCCATCATGGCGCTCAGCCAGGTCAGACAGTGAGTGCCACCACCCACTATTATATCCTCTTCTGCTGAACTGTGATTCCCAGTAAAGACTGATTTTCCCCGCAAGGGACAATGGTGGAATTATTTTAATGGTTCAGGTACCCACTGGATCTTTCCTGAAGGAATGTGAACCCCAGGTAAAGGCAGCTCATTCTGAGTCTAGGTCAAGCCCCACCTGCCTTCAGATTGCATTGCCAAGAAGATCCAGGCAACTACCAAGAAACTCCTACATAGAATTATTCCAAGGGCAAGAGTTAGTACTTTCTATATCTGAGTATCATTCCCCATGCTATATCCTAGGGACTGCATCAGTTTAAAATTGAATGAGCTTTCTCCCAAAGTAGCAACCACCAGGCAATAAGGGCTCTGTGTTGCATAGAATGTGCCTCCATCCTCACTGGCCCAGGCTAAGGCACAGTGGTAGGCGCCCCTTCCACAGGCTGCAAGGTCTGGTCTTCCATGGTCCACTCCTTTGTGCAGGTTAGGCTTTGTGGCTGTGTTGCAGCTAATCGGTCAATCTACTACAGTTCTGAGGCAGCTTATAGACAGAGATTTACCCAAATGATCTCCCGAATGCCCTTCGGTGGCTTTCATTTTGTGATTTATGGGACATTTACAGCTTAAAGAGCCATTCCATTCTTATGCATAGCTTCTTTGTTCCATTTCTTATACTTCTGATCATTTATAGATATATATTTTTTTGCTACCAGAGATTGAACTCGGGTCCTTGTGCTTGCGAGGCAGGCAGCAGCACTACTGAGCTAAATCCCCGGCCTGGATCATTTATATTTTTAATAAAGGCATCTGCTTGTTTGTGGGTAGTTTGGGAGTTACATGAGCTTTGAAATGGGATGACCTAGACTGTTTGAATTAAAGTGTTTAAGAGGACATGCTCTCGGGCAGAAGCTAAAGCATGATGTGACTCCTTAGGATTTAGGACTTGTTCTTGCTGTATGTGAGTGGTGCCCAAGAATTCTGCCCTGTGGACAGTGACTGTGGTGGAGACAGAGGATGACACACCCAGAGATGTCTTCAAGTTACATCAGTAGCACCGTGATTGCTCAGGGGAGTTCATGCTCATTGTGGAGATTGGGTCACATTTTCCTGAACTTGTCTTTTGGATTTTTTGGTACTGGGGATTGAACCGTGGGCCTGCATAGTGAGGGACATGTGCAGCGCCTCCTCCCACCTTGTTTATTCATTTTTTTATTGGGAGATAGGATTTTGCTATAAGTAACCAACTTGTCCAGGCTGGGCTCTAGCTTACAACCCCCTGCCTCAGTCTCCCAGAGTGCTAGAATTACAGGTATGCATCACTTTTTATAATAAATGTCATAGATGTTTTATGACAAGCCCCCATTTACCCATCATTCAGCTTTTGTACTTATCGTGTTCATTTTTGCTTCTTCTCTGCCTGTGCCCATTTTCTTTTTCTTTTCTTTTCTGGTACCAAGGATTGAACTTGGATCCTTGTGCTTGCACAGCAGGCGGCGAAACCACTGAGCTAAATCCCCGGCCCTGTGTGCCCATTTTCTTTCTTCCAAGACAGTTTTTGAACCAAGACACAACACAAGTTTATGTTTGTTGCATTGGTTCACAGTGTTAAGTCTTTTATAATCTGTGAGTTCTCCTTGCTTTGTTTTTTTCTTATAGTTAGTTGGGAAGAAAATAAGGATTTTTTTATCCTGTAGGTTTTGGCAGTCGGGATTTCTCTTGACGGCACCCTCACAATGTCATTAACTGGCTTGTGTCCCCTGAATTTCCTACAGATCACTGTTTCGATCTAGAATCTTCATCAGACATAGGTTGGATTATTTTTTTTTCTTTTTGCCCTTTATTTAATTGCTGTTCTCCCACTTGTTAGTCTGTGATTTAAGCAAGTGTCTTAAACTTGCTGAGCTTCAGTTTTCTTGTAGTGTAGAGTAGTTCCCTCATGGGCTGTGACAAGAATTAGACAACAGTGTGTGTGAAGCCATAACGTAGCGCCTGGCTTGTAGTGGGTTTTAGTAGACAAGCTCTCGTGCAGTCACACTGCTTCCTGTGTAATACAGAATGATTTTTAAACTTTAGCACTGTTGTCAGAGTCAGTCCTTAGCATGATATTACAAAAGCCTCTGGTAACACCCTCCTTAGGTTTGTAGCACTGAGTTCAAGCCAGAGAGGGCTGTCACCCAGAGAAGGCTGACTCCTGGGCTATTTTTATGAAAGTCTCCTGTAGATGGGCTTCTTGGTGCAGCTGCAGTATTTCTAAGTCTTTTTTTTTCCAGTTTGTTTTGTTTGTTTGTTTGTTTGTTTGGTACCAGGGATCGAACTTGGGTCCTTGGGCTTGCACAGCAGGCGGCGAAACCACTGAGCTAAATCCCCGCCCTTTTTTTCTAGTTTTAACCTCTATAAAGAAACAAAAATGATGTCTCAATGCTATTTTTAATGAATAATATTTAAACTAGAGGAAGCAGGTAAAGCCTTAGCACTCAAGGCAGCAAATATTTCTTAAAATGAGTATTTATGTTTATCAATTCATTTCCATGGTTTAAAAATCAGTTATTGTTAAAATGTTTATTTGTAAGGGCCAGAGCTTTAGCTCAGTGGCACCGCGCCTGCCTTGCAAGCACAAGGTCCTGGGTTTGATCCCCAGTAGAAGAAAAAATGCTTATTTGTAATTTGCCCCTTTGTCAACTTCTTCCTCTGCTCCCCAGAAGAAGCTGTTAACTCTTCATCTGTTTGTTCTGAAATTTGCCTCCATATTTTTGGATGTATGCTTATACTTGATGGATCAGCTTTCAGAACTGTTTATAGCTTTGTCTTATGGTAGGAAACCTAAATCTTTTTTGTTTGGGGTTTTTTTTTTTGGTACCAGGGATCGAACTTGGGTCCTTGCTCTTGCGAGGCAGGCGGCGGAACCAATAAGCTAAGTCCCTGGCTCTGGAAAACCTAGATCTTAACACACACCACACACACATCTTCATCTTTTCAGTACATTTTTTGCTAAACCTGTGTTTTGAGTTTTCTGTATTGTAACTATGCCACTGTTCACTGCTAGGCAAATAATGTACTGTATTTATGTTTACTTCCTTAAATTTTCTGTTTAGCTTAGAGTTAAAAAGCTGCCTCCATTTTTCCATTTGCTTTGGTGGTTTTGTTTTGTTTTTGTGTTTTGACTTCCTAGTTTGTCTTTCCACACCTGACAGCTCTAGCACAGTTCAGCCACAGCTGTCATTTCATCCTTCCATTCATTCCCCAAGTCTTCCTGCACCACCACCACCACCCCACACATGCCATTCTGACCGTTCCCTGCAGTCGACACACAGCTGTTGCCCTGAGACTTGCCTTCACCTTATCTCGGGAATTCCCTTCACCTTGTTTTCCTGTCTTTTCCCTGTGCTCTAGATCCTACCCCTGTCTACTTGATTTGCATACCCACACAGGACTGAGAGTTCCACTATGGTGAAAATTATTTCTCTGCCTCTGTCATTCAGTTTGTTGAGTGCCTGACTCAGTGCACGTACCGGGAATATCCTAAGAACAGTACCAGGCCCCTTCCGTCTTGGGGCTTTATACTCATGGATTAGTGCCATCTTTTTCAACCTATCCTTTAACTTCTGTTCTCTTAGGGGGTCATTCTCAGAGCTTCCGTGTCCTACACCTCTTAGATTTCTCCTGCCATGTGGCTGCAGTGTCGTCTTGGTCTCTGCATAGGTGGCTGTGCCCATCTGTCGACCCAGCCTCTGCCAGGCTCCAGAGCCTTTGTGGCATCAACGCTGTAGTGTTTCTAAGTCAGTTCTTAAAAGAACTTTGACCATTGTCATAGATTTTCTTTTTTTATTTTTTTGTTAGTACTGCATATCTTTGCAGTACATGTTCACATTATTTGTATGAAGTTGGTACATGTATATAATTCATCTTAATTCCATTTTTCAACCCCTCCCCCATCTCTCAGTCCTCTTCCCATCTGAGAAAGCTCTGTCTTCCTACTTCCTGTTAGCTCTCTTTATTTTGCTCTTTATTTATAATTTGGGTTTCTCATATAAGAGAAAGCATGTAAGATTTAAGCTTGTGTGTCTGATTTATTTCGTTTAACATTGTATTCTCAAGGTGCATCCATTTTCCTACACATTACTTTATGGCAGAGTAGTACTACATTGTGTAGAAGTAAATAACCACATTTTCTTTATCCAGTCGTCTGTTGACAGACTTATAGGCTCCTTCCATGCTTTAGTTAGCTATTGCGAGTTACGCTTCTATAAACAGAAAGATACCAAGGAGGGGAATAGGTGAGTCAAATGGAATTTCTAGTCCCCGTTTTTTGAGGAATCTCCATACTGATTTCCACTGAGGCTTTACTAGTTCACATTTCCAACAATGTAGATTTCTCTTTTCCTTGCCAGCACTTACCTGATTTCCTGGTGATGGCCATTCTTTCTGGGGTAAGATGGAATCTCAGTGTTGTTTTAATTTGCATTTCTCTAATGTCCAGCCATGTTGAGTGTTTCTTCATATATTTATTGGCCATGTGTACTTTTGTGAAATATCTGTTCATTTCACTTGCCCATTTTTTATTGGATATTTTAGGAGGTCTAATTTTTTAAGTTCTCTATATATTCTAGATATTAGTCCTCTGCCTGAGGAATAACTGGCCAAAATTTTTTCCCATTCTGTAGGTTTTCTTTTTGCTCTATTGGTTCTTTTTGTTTTGTTTTGTTTTGTTTTGTTTTGTTTGCAGTACTGGGGATCAAACTCAGGACCTTGGCTTGTAAGGCAGTTGCGGTGCCACTGAGCTAAATCCCTGGCCCTGTTGGTTGTTTCGTTTGCTGTACAGAAGCTTTTTAATTTGATCCGATCCCATTTGTTGATTCTTAGTACTTTTCCAGTACAACCAGGTTCTGTTCAGAAAGTCCTTGTCTATGCCTATGCTTCAGTAGTTTTACTTATTTTATCTTCCAGCAGGTTAAATGTTTCAGGTTTAACATTTAGTTCTTTGGTCGAACTCAGGACCTCGTGCTTGTGAGGCAGGTGGCTGAACCACTGAGCTAATTCCCCAGCCCCTTTGAGCCATTTTGATTTTATTTTAGTACATGGTGAGAGAGATGAGTCTCGATTCAGTCATGTGCACCTGGATTGTCAGTTTTCCCAAAACCATTTATTGCAGAGGCTCTTTCCTCTAGTGTATTTTTGCCCCCTTTGTCAAAGAACAAATAATGGAATGTGCTTACGGTGGTTTCTGTATCCTCTGTTTTGTTCCATTGATCCTCATGTCTGTTTTTATGCCTATACTGTACTCTCATATATGTCCTAAAAGTCTTACCAGACTTTATACTTGACTCTCAGAACACTTGAGTTGCTGTTTGATTTATGCATGTGAACAAGCTGAGGGGAGAAACTCTAGGCAGCAACTAAAGGAACACTGTTCTTGAACGCCTGTTCTTCCTAGAGTCCTCCTAGGTTTTTGAGTCCTTCCTGAGGGTTCTGGAGGACACTGGGAGCATGACTTATTGGGAGAATGCATGGCTGGCATGCACAAGGCCCAGGAATCCACTCTCAGCACTGCAAAAGAAGTACACCACCAAGTAGCTTTAAGCGCTCACAGGCTGCTGGAGGAGAGTGGTGGAGAAATGATTAAGACAGCATGAGAAGTGCTGTAAAATAGGTGAATCGATCCATGAGAGCACTAAGAAAGAAGTGTCATTTGAGCAGAGTCTTGACAAAAAGATGTTTTCACCAGAGGAGCAGTTTGTACAAAGGCTAAGAGATGGGGCATGTAGACTAGCGGGCTTCAGAGGGAAGAAATTCTCCTCCTATAATTTGATTCTATCTGGTCTACTTAACTAGGCTTTTAGTCAATAGTAACAGAAGTGACGATTACTAATACAACTATTAAAGTAAGATTTGGGAGACTCCTTTAATTTATGTACCACATTTTTAAAGCTACTTTCTTGACAAGTACCAATTTATGTTCATATTATGTGGGACTTTCCCCCTGCTGTTAGAAACAATATTTAAATGAAATAATGACTCCCTTAGGCTGATACTCAGGAGCCTCTTCCTGTGCCACCACCATTCAGGAGCTTAAGTTCCATTCCAGTCTGATTTTGTGCTGATAAGTGGCACCTGTGCTTCAATTACTCTTTTTGTGAAACACAAATTATGCTCCTGTGTGACTTCCTTTCTAGGATACTTGCAAACAGCCCAAGTTTAAAGGTGCAGAATCTACCTTCAGGTAAAACTTGGTAAATATTAATAGCCTTACAGCTGAGTACAAAAATTTAACTTTTAAAGGGCCGGGAATGTAGCCGTGCCTGTCTGGCAAGTGTAAGGTCCAGAGTTTGATCGCTGGTAAAGCAAAAAAAAAAAATGTAACTTTAAGATCTGGTGCCGGGGATTTAGCTCAGTGGTTTCACTGCCTGCTGTGCAAGCACAAGGACCTGAGTTCGATCCCTGGTACCAAAAAAAAAAAAATGATCTGGTAAGGCAGCCAGGCATGGTAGTGTATGCCTGTAATCCCAGCACTCAGGAGGCTGAGGCAGAAGGATCATGAGTTTCAGGCCAGTCTGTGCTATATAGCAAGTTCGATGCCAGCCTGTACTACATAAAAAAAAAAAAAATCTAGTAATCGATGCAGGGGAGGTAGCCAACACTGTGAGTGAAACTGGGGACTTCCTGTGTTTTACTTTTTTGTTTTCCATTTTCAGGAGTAACCTTTCCCTTTCTCAATTTTTAGGCCTTTTCTGATGCCATTAAAAAATGGCAGGAACTATCACCAGAAGCCAGTGGAAAAAGGAAAAAGAGAAAAGAAATGAATCAGTACTCTTACATAGATTTCAAATTCGAACAAGGTAATGACAAGCAGAGTGTGGGGCCATGGGCAAAGCTGGAGCGCCCCACTGGCACTGAAGGAAGTCCTGTTGCCTGCTGTTTGTAGGGGGTGCAGGCCAGGCCCAGCAGTGACTGACAAGGACTTTTCTAGAAAGTGGCTGTGGTTGTTGGCCCTATTCTCCCTGTTTTGGGTACATTCTGGCGGGAGAATTTCATGCAGTGTTAAGAAAATTCACATGTGGACCAGGGAGAGTGCTGTTAAGCCTAGGAAAGACTAGTCTTGCAGGCCTGAAGCGAATGGCTGCATCATTAGCACCAGCCTGGCAGGTGATTGCTTACCGAGGAGGGCTCACTTTCACACCAGAGGTGTGGCTGATAGCAGCGTGTTCCTCCAAGGCTGTGTTATTGCTGATGAAATGACAGCTGAAAGCCCTTTCAGAGAGATTACTTCAGCTCTCATCCCCCCGAACAGTAGATTTTAACTTTAAAACAGATTTCCTCTAAGCCACAAGCTTGTGTCCAAGAAAAGTTTATACAACTTTTTCCATAGATTATGTCACAAATAGGGCTACTTTTCTGTTTCCTGTTTGTATCTTTCTACTTGTGTACTTAGTTACAAAACTTGATTTCAAGTGTGTCTAAGTAGAAGCACCATACAATAACCTCAGAGTTAGGCGGTTTGGATTTCTGGAGTCCTCAGAGTCTGTATTCTCATCTCCTGTCCTTGGCTCCTGAGGTCCCTCTCTTCACTGGTGGAGCAGTGTCCTCTCCCCTGGTGCTCCCACTGGTCTCCATCTCTGCAGAGCGAGAAAGCAGGGACAGCGTGTGGCTAAGTTAACCCAGCAGTTGAAACCAGGCACCCCCAATACATAGTCATGCAGTCCTTGCTTCTGAACGTAAGTGGTAAAGAAAGCAAACCTCCTTGTTGGTCAGCTCCATTTTTTACAGAATTCTTCTTTTTGTCAGCTCAGAATGCACCTCCCTCACATTTCCTACCACGGCTGCAGGTTGAGCCTCTGAAAAGCCCAAGGTCTGTTGCCTCTCTGCTGTCCTGACAGCCCTTCTCTGGCTCAGCAGGGGTCTCTGAAGGGTGTGGCGCAAGACCTTGTGCTCCAGCTGAGGCCTGTGATGCAGACAGCAGTGGGCTTCAGGCTCTGTTCTTTGGTCCATGCATCCTGACTTCACTTTTAAAATCAGAATGTGTCCTGTGATTGACTCGTGATGTCCCTTGGTCTTTTCACCCCATTGCTTTTTTGCAGTCGGTCACATATCTCTCTGTCAGTTCTGTGGCATCTCCCATTTTATGCTAGTCATCTCAACTCACTGTTTTAGGTATATCCTTTAATTCAGATGCTGATTCTTAAATTGTTCTCATTAAGGACAACAAAAGTATAAAGTATAAAATACATTTGAATTTTTTTTTCTTTTTAGAGACAGGTCCTCTCTATGTAGTTCAGGCTGCCTTGAACTTGTGGTGATCCTCCTGCCTTAGCATCCCAGCTGCTGGAACTACAGGCACATGCCACCACTCCTGGCTTGATTTTTTTAAGTTTAATATTTATGGCTGGGCCAGGGATTTAGCTCAGTGGTTCTGCCACCTGCCTCAAAAGTGCAAGGACCCAAGTTCAATCCCCCAGTACCAAGAAAAAAAAAATATTTGTGACTCATGCTTAGCCTTTCTTGCCAGCTTTTTATAAGTACATAAGCTAAGAATCCCTTGTCTGTTGCCAGAATCCCATTTTTCACCTGTTCAGCTTATTTTCCATCCATGCACTGCTATTTGGGGTATCCATTGCTGGGCTCAAAAAGAGACAGGGATTTCCCTCTGCTCTCTTTTTTAATAGTTTTAAATGCTGACTTCTCATGAAGAGTTGAGTTAGAATTTAGAGATAGTAATCCCAGCACCCAGGAGGCTGAGGCAAAAGGATTGCTGTGAATTCAAGGCCAGCCTGGGCTACATAATGAGTTTAAGGCCAACCTGAACAAACTCCTTAGCAAGACTCTTGTCTCAGAAAAGAAAAAAATGGATCTAAACCTCCTGCCTCTAGCAAGTCTGACCAAGAGAAAAAAGAAAGGCTGAATATCAGGAATTATCACTCCTGGCAGGGGTTACATTACAGACATTCACATAGCCAGCATACTTGTTCCCTGAGGTGGGGAATAAGGATATCATATTCATTGCCATTCACATAGTCCTGGCAGTACTACCCACTGCAATAAAAAAAGAAAGAGAGGGGTTGGGGATTTAGCTCAGTGGTTATGCCACCTGTCTTGAAAACTCAAGGACCCGAGTTCGATCTCCAGTACCAAAAAAAAAGAGAGATGTACAGATCTAAAAGGAAGAAATAAAACTGGCTCTTGATGTGGATGACATAATTATCTACCTAATAAACTCCAAGAAATCGGCTAGAAAACTCCTAGAACTGATAAGTGAGTTCAACAAGGTTTGTAAGACCTACCTACAAAAAACAGTTGCATTTCTGAATATGATGATGCCTCGGTTCATGAACTTAATCCTTTCTATGATTCTGGTTGCAAACCAAATTAGATGAAAACTGAATCTAATTTCCCCATAAGGTCAATATTGAACCTAACCCATTGCATATGATTTGGTTCTTGTCCAGCTCAGTTTATGAAGAGAATCATGGAAAGAAGTTTGTGAACTGAAGTACCACTGTACTAGCAGTGAGCAAGTGGAAATCAAAATTTAAAATACAGTACCATTTATAGCCTCTCCAAAAGCTTCCACAGGACTTGGGTTGTGATAAAACTTACAGAACAGTGATGGGAGAGATTAAAGACCTAAATAAATGGAAAAGTACTGTTTTGGTAAACTGGAAGACTCAACATAGGAAAAATGTCAGTGCTCCCCAAATCGATAGGTTTAATGCAATTTCCTTTAAAATCCCACCAAGAATTTTATATAGACATCAAGTTTATCTGAAAATTTATATAGAAAAGAAAATGGAAGCACTTAAGCAATTTTGGTTTAGTTTTTTAATTTTTATTAGTATATGTTTGCAGTGCATAATGATTAGAAAAAGGATATAGTGAGAAGAATCGGTCTTCCTGGTGATAACTCAGTATGTAGCTACAGTCATCTAGACTGGGTGGTGTTGGAGGAACAGAATGGAGAACTCAGAAATGATCCCACACACATACTGGTTCACTGAGACGTAGTTCGCACATACAGTTTTGTTTTTAGTATATGTGCAGTTTACAGTAATTACAATTAATTTTAGAATATTTTCTTCATCCCAGAGAGGAACTCTGAATCATTAGTAGTCACAAGCTATTTCCCATCAACTCCCCCCTTTCCCTAGAACCACTAATCTAATTCCTCTCTTAAGATTTACCTACTCTGAACATTTCACATGGATGGACTCAGACTATACATGATGTTTTTTGTTTGTTTGTTTGTTTTGGTACCGGGGATCGAACTCGGTTCCGTGCACTTGCGAGGCAGGCGACGGAACCACTGGGCTAAATCCCCGGCCCTATACATGATGTTTTGCAACTGGCTAACTGGCTTCTTTCATTTAGTAAAATATTTTCAAGGTTCATTCATGTATATGTATTGATGGATTGTTCCTTTTTATTGCCAAATAATATTTGTGTGGATTTACTATGTTTCATTTATCCCATTCATCAGTCGATAAAAGCTTTAATACCCAATTCATTTTTTACAAAGCTGCAAAAGCACTTCAAGATAGGAAAGATAGCCTTTTACATAAATGATGTTAGAACAATTGGATGTCCATAAGAAAATCAAAAACCTAAGTCTCATACCTTACACAAAAATTAAATTAATAGGGCCAGGGATTTAACTCAGTGGTTTCACCGCCTGCTGCGCAAGCGCAAGGACCCGAGTTCAATCCACAGTACCAAAAAAAAAGTTCCAAAAATTAAACTAATATAAGCCAGGTGTGGTGACATACACCTGTAATCCTAGCACTCAGGAGGCTGAGGCAGGAGGATTGCCATGAGTTCGAGGCCAGCCTACATGAGTTCAAGCCCAGCCCGAGCTAGTATTGAAACCTTGTCTCAAAAAAAAAATTTTTTTTTTAAGCCAGTATAAAATCTTTAGAGAAGACAAAAAGAGCTCTTCATGTTCTGG